AAAAAAAAAAAAAAGGAGGGAGGAGGGTGGGGGGAGGCAAAGAGGAGAAGGAACAGATCGTTATGAAATGAAGTCAGAGAAGTTCTTGTGTTAAACACGTCCCGTCAGTTCAAGTTGGCTAAAGGTCGTAATGAGGTTATAGTGGGCCCTCTCGTCGTCTGTCAGCTCCATGTTCCCGGGCCGGACCACCACCACCACGTTGAACCCGGCTTCTTCGGCTGCTTTGGCCTCTGCAAAGACAAACCAAAGAGTTGGGATTGAGCAAAAATCGGCTCCTTTATAATGACGTCAAATACAAGACATCACAACAACAATTTACACACATTTTAGAAGATAAAACTGATTTAAAAAAAATATTAACTCATGGTTTTCATTATGCCAGCTGTACTTCCAGTGCCTGTGGCAGGATTGAGTCATAAAACACCAGAACTGAGTTACCATTTTAGCATTTTAGCACTTCCTGTTCCCTCCTGTAGTCAAACTGGTTTGTGGTTAGATGCCTGAAATAATCAGGGTTATTTTTATGTTCTACAAACATAAAATACATCAGTAAATACCCCTGAAAAATGCTGTGAACGATTCTACATTTTAACTTTTGACTGTGGAAAATAATTTCCTTTGTTTATGATGTTATAAGAGAAGAAGAGAAAATGCATTCAAGCATTTGTTAGATCTTAAGGATACACACAGTGTGTCTTGGGTGAGAAATACTGGAATAAAGTGTCAACAGAACTGTGTTTACATGAAAACTCCTCAGGGAACTTTTACAAACCAAGACTATCTTTTAATCATGTAGTTTGATTGTTTCCTCTATTGTTGTTTTTACAGTGTTTTATTTTGAAAACTGACTGATCTCTATGCTGTTCCTTGTAAGTGACTTCTTGCCGGGTTCGACGCTGCTCGACACAGCTTGCAAAACCTGATTCAGCCACACCCATAATTATTAGAGAGAACAAATCTGAGCGGCGACGTATTTCACATGCATTGACGCTCCCAACATACTCACCTCGAGTGACGTCTGTCAAGACATGTTATCTCCTCCGGGCTCGACTGACAGCCAATCCTACCAGCAATTCTCACTCCATAGTTTTGACTTCTATAGCTTCCATACTGGTGTCAAGTGACCATCAGAAAATAACTGATAGATTTTTCATAAATAATATAGCTACCAATATTGTCAATAACAGAAAGACTGTAATAACAAAATAATAATAGAGCATTATAAAGCGTCAAACAAACACTTGCATCCTGATACAAACAGAAAAGCTAAACCCCTACAACCTTTCTGATAACACAGAAACTAACAATGTTTTAAAAGGAAATATTAATTGAACCTAAGTAAAGTGTTAAATTACACGATGAAGAGAAGCGTTTGTACATTGTTTACCATCTGAAAACAATCTCCTTCGCACGGAGTATCCAAACAGAAGTTTCTGGTGCCTCCACGTTCCAGAGGAGTAAAATACACTTTTAATCCTTGTTCTTTCCATCTTTTGATGGATGGGATTACATCCTGGTAGATCCTGTTGGAAACAAGACCACAATCACGACATAAATGAATAATTTATTTACTTTTATTAAGCTTTTTTGATCGGGTTTTTGGGTCAAAGAAGTCAATTGTCAGGGATTTTAGCTTGGTTTAGAATTGTTTAATTAGTTCGAGGAGCATTTTCAGAATGTTATGACATTGGTAATTATTGAGTGAAATTATACTATTATATTATATTTTATTAACTAATCTAATGTTGAATATCATCAGTCCATGAACCTTTCTGTATTTCATATCTCAACAAGTCCTAAATCCCAAGCTGACATTTTCAAATTGAATGTTTTCTGTCCGACTTAAAACTCACAAAATGTCCAGTTTACTGTCAAAATAACGTTTAACTTGTTTACTAAAAAAAACAAGAAATAAAAGACTAAAACTATTAATTTGATTATGAAAATAGTTAATTTTCTCTTGATGTGACTGACTAATCAATTAACTGCTTCAGCTCTAATTGGTTATACTGACAATTTGAAAAACAACACCAACAGGCCAGCTTGAAATAAGCGAGTATATTTGCTTTCCTGTAAATTCCGTTGGGGTAAATCCTGGAGTTGGCGGACTCCCACCACCAACCAATAAAAACTACAATTATAGAGACATAAACTAATTCAGCATTAAAACTAAACTACTCTCCTGGATTTGATCAGAAAAGCACTATAAAAATGTTGAAAAGTATGTCCTTTATGGGACACAAACGACACTTTTAATTTCAAACCAATGTGAATCTTTACTTTCCAGTGATGATGAAACGGATGCTCAGAAACATGTCCTGGCTGATTAACTGTTAATGGTCCATACAGTATGTTCATGTTGAGCGACGTTCTGCCAAACCTTTGCCATAAAGTCATTACTTAGGTTGCGAACAGTAGCATCAGCACAGATGTATAGAATATTGAAGTGAGGAAAACTGATTCAGTGTACTTACTCGCCTTTGATTCTCCCAGAAGAATAAGCTTCGCCTCCCACATGTGACCTGGAGCTGTTTGAGTGCTGTCGACTTCCTGTCTGCTGCCATCTGCCACAGCAAATTATCACACTACTTCCGCTAATGGCCTTCATCTTCGTTGTGTGGACCGTCTTGGTCCACGTGTGGACGGGGCGCGAATTTTCGGTTCTGTTTCATGTCCTCTTCAATCTGCCATGACAGTCGGGGCTTTTATTACAGGAGCATCCGAGACAACTCTTTGTAGGAAGCACAGCTCGCTGCATGAGTTTTCATTAGGTTTTTTTGTGGTCCCACATTTGTATTTGATATTATTATGAGCACAAAAACTTATAAAACTCCTTTTAAGTTGGCACAGTATAATAGTATACCCCCTGTTTCAAGTCAACATCTTGACAATGTTTGTTTGTTGTTAAGTTTACATCCATAGTGTGTGAATAGCTGTAGGAATTATAATCCTTCTTACACATAGGACCCAATTTTTAGGAAGGAACAGCCAATGAACTTGGAATGATAAACAAACTAATTTTGAATTCATCGCGTGTAAAATGTTATTTGGGCAAAACAGTTAAATGATGGCAACAGAAACTCAGAGATTTTGTGTGAAAATATGTATGCTTATTACATATTTATACATGTCAGTATAGTCATATTGTAGACTGTAGATTGCTGAAATGTAAGTGGAAAAAGAGAAATTTAATCATGCAACTATTTCGATAATGTTGATTTATCACTTTTTTTTAAAGCAAAAAATGCCAAGAAAAATTCAGTTTCGTAAATGGTAAACATATTGTTTTTTAATTATTTATATGAATTATTTATGTTGTGGACTGTTTGGTCAGAAGGAAAAAAAACATAAATATGCAAACTTGTGAAAATCTTTGGGGGGAAAATTATAGGCATTTTTTAAAACTACTTTTGGACATTTTATTGGATTAAAAAAAATCGAATTGTAATGCAAGAAAATAGCGGGTTGTGTTAATAGAGTAATAAAACGGACAAGGGCCAAAAGTCTTCCTGCCTGCACTCTAAGAACATTGAAGTAAGGAGATTATATGCCTAGAGTTATAGATTATAGAGACTGGAGCTCCAAGAAAACATCGTAAATAAATGCTGATGTTTACATCTTTGTCAGGCTGAAATGACAAAGCCTGCAATAACCCTTGGAGAAAAAGCAGAAGTTGCTTTTAAAATTTGAATTAAAATCACTTGATGGAAGTCACATCATGTTACTGGTTTACTTTAAGAGATGGACATCTTGGTTTGCACGTCGTTCTTTTCCAGTGGAGTGGAAAGTTAATCTCTCGGAGGTGCTCCCTGATGTACGGAAATAAGATGATCTGAAAAACAACAACAAACGCAGAGTCATTAGGTGTGTTAAAAATAAATTAAACCAGAAGACACACTTTTACAGAGAGGAAAAAAATAAACCGACAAACTATGGTTTGTATTATATCTTAAAAATCAAAGATTGAAACATATTAACCAGTCATTTTTGATTGTTTGCATACTTCAATTTCATTGTTTGGTGCAGCAATATACTGGATGTTAGTGTATTTAGGGGTCTGCTTTTATAGCCAATTAGTTCCCAAAAATTAACTGCTGTGGGCTGCTGTTCAAGGGCCGCATGAAATTGGATGGTTGAAAGATGGGGAAAAAAAGATGAAATTCTTAATAACTCCTATATAGAGACACAATCATTTTATGGCCAGTATGAATCTGATTCAAGGATACAATTAACGACTAACGTACAGTTATAGCAGAATATAAAGCAAACAGATAAAGTGCAAAAGGAATGGCTGAAGAAATAAGATATTTACGTGAGGTATGTTTGGGATGACAGTTTTATAAGCAAGAATGCACAGCCTGTTTTCAACAATTGAGATGAAATAAAATAAATTAAAACAAAGGATGTAGTGTGTGAGTGAGAAAGTAATTACGCACTGACAATATAAAAGTGTATTAATACAGATTTGTGCTTAATTAAACAGCATATTAGAACGACTGATTTTGGCTGCTGGTTATTTTATAGGTTGGGAAAGCTCCGATGTGTGACATGAAACGGGCATGGCGTGTTGTTATTATTATCGCTCTAAAGATCGCAAATAATCAGCATTTTAAACAAGTTGTTGCGCGATTAAAGCAAACAAAGATACCAAACAGAGCAAACAAAGAGTAAACAAAAAGAGCCATTAAAAGCAGCGGTTACATCAGAGGTATGACTCTCTGGTTTGAGCCCGGATGCTAACCGCTAACATCTGTTTAGCACGCCGTCGTTAAAACGGCTGTTAATACACAATCAGCTCACGCGTATAAACCTGCAAGTAAATGTCAGCACTTTGAGTCGAAAAAACAAAAAAAAAACCTTTACAAAGTGATCGGCGTTGTTGGTTCCTTCAATATCAAGCAAGAGTGAACTGGTAGGCAGCAGCAACTGAACAGTGGCATTGTATTTAAAGGAGAGTCTTTGCAAGCTGCTTTGCTGAGGCGTAGTCGTCCAGCGGTGTGAAAGACGCGTGAATCGCCTCTTCTCTCTCACTGGAGCAGGTAAAGTCAGGAGTACAGGTGATCTAAACTGCTGCTCGATTATCACTGTGTGGGTTTGTTGGTATGCCTCGTTAGCTCGCAGTGATTTGCCATCCCTCGCAGGGCTAAACTGAGGCTGGGTTTTTTTTTTTTTTTTTTTTTTGTGTGGGCAAATCTTTATTTTCGAGTGTTTCAAAAAAAATACTTGCAAGTTCTTCTGGGAAGTTGGAACTTAAAGTGTATTTATGGACTTAATACAGAACGTTTATCGTATCTCAGTTACTAAGAAAAAATACGAGTACAATATGGAAGCTTATTGCATTCCACAGTGAA